CTTCAAACATTAACCCCTTACCATCTTTTCCTTTCAAATTCCCTTCCTTATGGCCATCCACACAAAAGGTACTCTATTATGTACTCTCTATTTTCCTTTCAAGTTGAATTCTGTCATGCACGTATGGTGTTTGTTGTATTGGCTCTGCTAACTAGTATGCTTCCATTGTGATTTTTGTAGCTGAAGATGGGGCCTCTGAGTGTTTCTCCAATGGGTTTTGGAACATGGGCATGGGGGAATCAGATTCTTTGGGGGTATAAGGAATCTATGGATGATGACCTTCAACGAGTCTTTAACATGGCTGTGGACAATGGTGTTAATCTTTTTGACACTGCTGATTCTTATGGTACTGGAAGGTTTAATGGCCAGAGTGAGAAACTCCTTGGGAAGTTCATTCGAGATTTTCGAGGTTCATTCATCTTTCACTACATGTATACTATGCTTTTACTTTTCTGAATAGCCCATGTAAATAAATGTGAGTAGGAAATAGATATCATGAAATGGATTAAGGCTTTCTAATAACTCTTTCATACATGTCTTAGACCCTGTTTGGATAAATAGCTTAATTACGCGCTTAGAGTATAAATGTTTATCATATAGTTGCTTTGTATAAGCTTTCTATATCAAATGTCTAACTGATTTTATTAAGCTATAAGTCGTTTTCCTAAGCTATCTTGGAGAATTTCTGAAAATAACTTATGGATGTCATAAATTGTTTCCATAAACTCTCCCAAACACTTTTACAAGTGTTTATACCATTAGGTAAGTTCAAATAAATTAATCTAATGAACCTTAATGGAAAAACATAATACATAATGTATTGGATTCTTTGATTTCCTTTTATTGTTCATCAAATTGTGTGTTCACTTCCTTAGAGAAAAAGGGGAGCAGGAGTGAAATTGTGATTGCTACAAAATTTGCTGCTTATCCATGGCGCCTTACACCAGGGCAGTTTGTGAATGCTTGCAGGTAGTCTTTATAAGTTCCTTTTTTGCATGAATGATATTGCTGAACTAATGTACTCATTCCTATTATCAAGTTTTCCTTAAACATCATATTCAACCTTACCCTGAAAATATCTGCTTTACACTGCTTTATCTGCTTTAAATGAATTTTCAGGGCATCACTAGATAGGATGCAGATTGAGCAAATTGGGATAGGACAACTACATTGGTCAACTGCAAATTATGCTCCTTTCCAGGAATTAGCACTTTGGGATGGTTTAGTGGCAATGTATGACAAGGTTACAATAATTCATGGTTAATAGTAGAATCACAATAAAAACCTTGAGCAAACCATTCTTTAAATTTTTGACTTCGAGGTTACTTACATATATTTTTTCCTATATAAAGTATCATAATTGAAGTTTGCAATGCAATGTGTGGATAAAGACATTCAGGGTGCTATGGATAATTTATTTACTTGCAATTTTCATTTTTTCACATATCAGAAGAGCATAAACAAATTGTTCAAATTTTTCTTACTAGAAGAAAAACATTAGTTTTGATTTCTTCAATATTCAAGATTTTATCTTCATATTTATTTCCATTTAGGGTTTAGTTCAAGCTGTTGGAGTTAGTAATTATGGACCGAAGCAGCTTTTAAAGATACATGATTACTTGAAAGAACGTGGAGTTCCCTTATGCTCAGCCCAGGTATAATGTTATGCATAATAATAACGTATTAACATTTAACATTCAAATTATTTTTGGAGAAATGCACTTTAATCTTAGTAGTGACACATAAGCATGGTCTAATTGTCAAACAAGACACAATATAGTATCATGCCTCAATGAGTTTCTGAATGAGTTATCAGTTAAATGAGCATGAGTTGCCAGGATAACTCCAAGCAGTAGTGATTCTGATTCCTGCAAATTATGCTATCAGTATGCTATAACCATTCAATAATTGTAACACTCTTCTGGTTATTATTTCATTAATATTCTGTATAGTAATTTCAACAATTCAGGTGCAATTTTCATTGCTAAGCATGGGGGAAGAACAGCTAGAGATCAAGAGCATATGTGATTCTCTGGGTATTCGGGTAATTGCTTACAGTCCTCTGGGACTTGGAATGCTTACTGGGAAATACTCGTCATCCAAACTTCCAACTGGGCCAAGGTGTGTTGATAATTTTGCAAACATTTTAGAGCGCTATTTAGCGGTTAAGATTATAGCCTAATGCATTAATAGCTTTTTTCGCTGTACCTTTATTATTTATTGCAAATTAGCTTTTTTCGCTATACCTTTGTTATTTATTGCAAATCACAGGGGATTGCTATTTAAGCAAATACTTCCAGGACTGGATCCTTTGTTGAGTACCTTGAGAGAAATTGCAAATAAAAGGCGCAAAACCATGTCACAGGTGATTTTTTTCCTATTTTTCCCACTACGCCCTGTAAACATTTTGTGTATGAATGTCGCTAAGTTGCCTAGAGGTAGTACTAAAATTCTCAACGATTTCTTTTGACTGTTTATTAGTTTGATGCAACGAAATATGTTTGAACTTTAAAGCCTGAAGGTGTACTATGCAGTAGTATATCTTGTATTAGTGGTTTAGGGCTCTTTCTTTAACAGTAGGAATCAAACTCCTTACTCTGAAGTTTACAACACTCATCCACACTTATTTTGGAACTATATCAATCACTTGAATTCCAGCAGTACCACTACTGAATGAGGTCAATGAACAGATAGTGCTATAAATATTCTTTCCATTGTGTAGATTTTCTTTTCCTCACATTTATTTGACAAGAGCATTTCAACAAACAAGTTCTGTAGTTTTCACATTAATAAGGCGCATGCTTATGTACAGTTCCATCTACATTTGCAAAGCTAGGCCCCGCTGGCTTGGTCCATCTTCTGGAGAACATAATTGTATCCAATTTGGCAGTCATTTTCAGACTATTAACATCTGTCTTCGGTATCCTGATCCAAACTTTTTTTTATAATACTACTCCTTGTCCTCGTTCTGAGCTCCAACTCACAATACTAAAAACTCTTTTCAACAGAGAAGTAAATGATTACTCAATTGAAGGATTATATGATATCTTACATCATTGATGTCTGGTGTCACAAAGTTTAACTTGTCCACAACATTAGTACTATTCCTACTCCACTCTTCATTATCAGGATCAACCACCAGAAGAGACAAATCTTTAATACCAATTCATTCATGTTTTTAATGCCAAGTTTGCTGGCACAACTTACTTTTTAAAGGTTTTAAAATTCACTTTAAAGCACTACCAGCCAACCCATATAATCGTTGTCCTAGGCGCGTTACAAATATAACTGTTGAGCACTTACTCTGACCAACCTTGCCCGGTTTAATAAAATCATAGTCTAATGAATCGCATTGACATGTCAGGTTGCAATAAATTGGTGTATATGCAAAGGTACAATTCCAATCCCTGGAGTAAAGTCAATAACACAGGCAGAGGAAAACTTGGGTGCTCTGGGTTGGCGCCTCTCCTCAGACGAAATACTTCAGTTGGAGTATGCAGCCGAGGAATCACCTCGTAGGATGATCCAAAACATTTTCCAGACCAGGTATACATGCTATTCAGTTTAACAATTGTAGTTTCAGATGTTGAAAGGTTGATAAAATTTGTAAATGTTGGTGTTTCGCATGACTTCTCTTTTCAAATATCAGATAATAGCTACAAGCCTCAGCTGCAAAACTGTAGAGTGAGAATGAAGGCAAGGCCACATGGTTTTTATCATCTCATCATTTGAAAAAACGGAGGAGATTGTTGAATAATTTCATTTCTACTTGGTCCAGACGAGATAAGCCAAATCAAGCACTCCTAAAGCAATTGTCGTTCTTAAAGTACTGCATTTACGTGCTTATTTTGATGAGTTTGTAATTTCAAAAACACGAATTCCGATCATCCAACATACTCTTGGACAATCATATAGTTATGTTCATAATTTTTTTAAATGTTTTATAACAATTTACTAAGAAATATTTTACTAGTACAGTGATAAAAATTCCTAATGTGAGAAACATCCGAGCCCAGTCAGAAAAATAATATATAAAGAAACCACTTTCCTTCCTTCCCACACTGTAAATGGAAGGATCTAAAACTTAGATCCTAAAGCCGAAAATGAGTTCTCTCTTCCCTCTGTAATCTGAAGGATCTAAAGCTTAGATCCTAAAGCTGAAAATGAGTCTAGTTGACCTCATCACCCAAATATAAAAATTAACTATTGAAAATTCAATTAAACTTTTATTTATTTATTTTTACTCTACTACTAAACTCATTTTAAGTTAAGAAATAAATGAGTTCAACTCTTTGTTTAAATTGCACATATTAAAAAAAATTCTCCCAAAATAGGTCAATGAATTAATTGTCCAATGGATTCAAACTATTTGAGTTAGCAATTAACTTTATTGCCAATCCAATGTAGAAACTGGTAAAAAAAAAGCAACTTAAAACAAGAAACTATTTGCTTGCATAGTTTAGAAAACATTACCATATTTCATACCATTTAAAAACAGAGAAAATTCAAGTAGTAATATCAAGAATATATAAAATAACTCTTGTAGTAATATCATGAAAATGAAAACATCATAAATAAATGTACATGCCTTCAAATGGAAATTCAAAAGCATCTCATAAGTAACTGATTACAATAAATAGTGATGATTGGTTCCCAACATCAAATTCAAAATGGGTTATATTGCTGATGTATACAGAATGTTTGTCCTAAAATTGTTTTTTTAGGGAAATTAACTTTTTATTAAAGAACATTCAATTGTCAAAGAAAAGTAAAAACATAGCATTCAAGTTTCACACATTTAAAAAATCAAAATTATGTCATCGCATATAACAAACAATAGCATAACTAATATCAAAGTGTCTCAAACCAAAACAAAATCATGAACAAAACGGTCAGTTCAACTTCCAACAAACTTCCTACAAAACTAAGAAGCTAATTATCGAAAGACATTCTCCAGTAATCCATGACATCAAAAAAATCCTTCCTGCGATCAGAACAGTCTACTTGATCTTCTTCTTGGGCCTCAACTGCAATACAAAAATATAATCCATAATGATAACATGTGAATTGCATTCAATGATACATACAAGCAATAAGATAGAAAGAATACTCTACCTGGTTGCTGTGTCCACACTTCTTTTTCCTGCAGTTGACAGCACGAGGGTGCAGACGTGCGTAGCACCTGCACAGCACAATGATCAGTAAGCAAGTAGGTTGTGACTTGATATTGTACACATCAATGTAAGCCTCTCTCACCTCCACTAATACATGGGCAAGACAATTATATTTCAAATTGTCTTTCATCATAAAACAGAATAGTACTACAAAATCATCTACTTTCTAATATTTATATTCCAATATACACCCCCATGGCAATGACTACCACTCATTACTTTACAAAAGAGTATATATGATTTCAAAATCACTGGTTTCTGAAGTTCAAACATAAGCAATCATTAAAGGGGTATCAAACAAGACATAGGGTTTCTAATATTTATCTTCCAATATGCAACCATGGCAATTACTACAACTCATTACTTTGTAAAAGAGTATATATGGTTAAAAAATTATCGGTTTCTGAAGTTCACACATAAGAAATCATTAAAGGCAATAATATCAACACATATTTGATGAGGTTTAACAAATTGGACTATTTGACGCATAAACATATCACCTATGTATCCTAACTAAATCGGATCTACAGTAGCAATAATCAACAGAGTCCAATTGCTCTTTTGTCTGTTTCACTAATACATTTGACTAAACTACATGCATCACCTTTAACACATAAATCATCAAACTAGCCATCCTAAGCATACGCTCAGATTGTGTAAACTTACTTGCGGCAGATAGTCTTATCCTGGTTGTATTTCCTGGCCAATGCCATCAAAGATGGCTCAATAATTCCACCACGAAGCCTCAAAACAAGATGCAATGTTGACTCTGCAAAATCAAAAAAAAAAAAAACTTATAAGCCCCAAAACAAGATGCAATTTTGACTCGGCAAAATAATAATAATAATAAACCTTCTAAGCCTCACAATTTAAAAGTAATTCAGAAAAAACATAAAATTTAGGGTTCAGTCATCAAATGTTCAATTTAAACAAATTTAGGGTTCAGTCTTTCAGCAAAAAAAAAATAAATGAAATTTAGGGTTCAATCATTCAGCAAATAAAAAAAAACATGAAATTTAGGGTTCAGTCATCTAAATTCAATTTAAACAAATATTGCTAATACATCAATTAATTCGAATTTGAAAAATCCTAACCTTTCTGGATGTTATAGTCAGCAAGGGTACGGCCATCCTCCAACTGCTTTCCGGCAAAGATCAACCTCTGCTGATCCGGAGGAATCCCTAACCAATTTAAAAACAATGAGTTAAACAAGAACGAATAAGAGAAAACAATAAGAAAATGGATCTGGTTTTTGAGGTACACTGAACCTTCTTTGTCCTGAATCTTTGCTTTGACATTGTCGATGGTGTCGCTTGACTCCACCTCAAGGGTGATAGTCTTGCCGGTAAGGGTTTTCACAAAGATCTGCATCTTCTTCCGCCTGTTACTCTTTCCAAGCTGCTGTCAAAGTTTTTGCTGAGCGTTCTAATGGGTGTATTTATACGAGGTGATAACATATTAGGGTTTTTTAAGTGTGTTTCTCGGCCCAAATTTTCTTTTGGTTTTTTCTACTATTATAATTAGGGCCTTGTTACATTATTATTACAATACTCTATCTTGTTACCATATATCATTTTGTGTTTTTTCTTTGGGTGGTCACCACCATTATTCGGTTTATTAGATCGACTAATTTAGTTTGAGAGTTAGTTTTAACATCAAGCAGTTTCAGTTCTCATAATTATAGTTGTGGGAGGTCAAATGTGATCCTTCTTATTAAATTTAACGTCAATTATCACAGGATGAATTAACAGTTAAGTTGTGTTCTTAAAAGACATGTTAATATATTAAAAATTAATTTCCATAATTATTATATGGATTAATTTTTTTGGATTAGTCGTAAATTTTTAAATAATAATAATGATGATAGTTATGTTCTAGAATTAGATATAGACATATATGTGGAAGTTGCAGTGGAGAAGAGCTTTCAATGCGACAGAGCGGGGTGTATCGGTAAGTTTAGCACTTTGACACTCAAGTCAGTATGTGAAATAGTAAGGAGTATTAAAATTGTGTTTGAAACTTATTACCTAAAATGACGTCATTCCTTATATATATATAGGAGAGAGGAATAACAATCTCACTATCTTCCTGTGATGCGGTGGGAGAACTGACTTGAGGTTTTGCGTTTGTGTTCGCAAATGTTGTGGTTAGCAAGAGTCGCCACCGACTTTTCTTTTATCCAAAAGGAAAGGTAAAAAATCACAAGAAAGACCTTTGAGATATTTTCTTGAGTTCGAGGGGTAGATTATGAAAAGGGAAGGTGTTAGCACCCTTTTCATCCATGGTTTTTCATAGGCTCTTAGTTATTTGTTTAGATCACTTGCTTTTGCTTTTGAAATTGTTTGAAATGGTGCTTAGTGTGGTTTTGAAAGTATTTTGAAAAGAGGTCATTCGTTTAGGCAATCTTGGTTGAGAGCTGATACAACCGATGTCATCAGTGAATTTGGGGTTTATTTCTTCATGTTGATAGTGTTAGTTAAGGACTGGCATAACTGACATTATTAGTGAATTTGGTGTTCGTTTCTTCAAACCTAACATATTTCATTTGGTTATCTAGTCTTGGTTAAGAACAGACACAATCGACGTCGCCTTTCCAAGTTCCAAATATCTGGTTTCAAGCTCGTATTATTTATCCTCTAAGTTGTGGTGGGCATACGAAATCTTTAACTCATTGTGTCAGGCTCCATGCAGCGATCTTATTATGAAGCTTTTTTCAATTATCTATCCCCTAGGTTACGATAGATATGTGAATTTTCAGGGTTATATTATTCACCCCCTAGGTTGTGATGAATAATGTAAGCCCGCCCCTGTTGTCTTTTATCCTCTAGGTTGTGATAAATACACAGGTTCCTCCTTGATGATATAACTCATTGTGTCAGGCTCCATGCAGCGATATGTGAAATCCATGATATAACTAATTGCGTCAGTCTCCATGTAGCAATGTATTATCAAAAAATTTCAATCATCCACCCCCTAAGTTGTGGTAGATGTGTGAATTTCCGATTCATGTTATTCATTCCCTAGGTTGCAATGAATACGTGAATTCTTCCCTGTACTGTTTACTCCCTAGGTTGTAGTAAACAGGACAAAATCTACAACATAACTCATTGCGCCAGTCTCCATGCAACAATGTGTCATCGAGCATTTTCAATCATCTACCCCCTAGGTTGCGGTAGGTGAGAGAATTACTTTTCAAATATCTATCCCCTAGGTTGCGATAGATATACAAATAAATATGTGTAATCCATTGTATCAGTCTTCATTCAACAATGTGTTATCAGACTTGCTTTATTCATCCCCTAGGTTGCGATTAATAGACAAAATCAAATCAAATCAAAACTTACTATATTAGTCTCCAAGCATTAGTAAGTTAACTTTTTCAAAACTTGTATTTTTGTAAATATGCAAAAGAATCTACAATATCTTAGATACGGACGAGTTATCTGCGTCGCCGTGACTAAGTTCTATCAAAAACTTTGGTTCAAACGCTGGTAAGATGATACATCATCATCTATGCCTACTCTTCATACTCACGGGAATGTTGTACGGCGTATCCTTATAATCTTTCAGACAAAATTTGGGGTCTTCTAATATTTAATAAACTTTCGATCAGAACGTACGAGACCTGTGTATTCTCACTGTTCAATCAAAAAGTAATTAAATAAGGACAGTTGTCATACCCCAAATTTGCCCTACTAGTTCCTAATATTTTTATTTTTATTTCTAAAAAATTATTATTCACATATTCATGGGATTTAAAGCTTATAAAGGGGTTTTTTATCTTATGAAGAAATTGATGGGCCTTTCTAAATCAGAAAAGTCCATTACATTTTTAAGTAAGGTTTTGTTTCGCTTCCAGCCCAATTCTACGTCATTAAGAATTTTTTGGGCCTTTATAAATAAGAGAGGCCCATATAAATTTTTAGTCCATTTCAAATATTGAAAGAGGTTCATGCCATTGAGAAAATCTTGGGCCATTTCAAAATCAGAATGGCCCATTTAGGTTTTAGATAAGTTTGAGAGTTGATGCGTCCGCAAGTGCACGGAAATATCGAAGTAATATAAAAGATTGTCGAACCACAAAGACTAATGTCAACCTACCGTAATCTATCGTCACTTTGTAAGGCTAAGGCTAATGAATAATTGATTAAGGGGAATAAAGGTACTAAATGCTAAAGGTTTTAAAATAATACTAAAACGAGGCCGAGATATGATTTCCGCGTTCCTGAAGGACTTATAGAAAATAGGTACTAATAACGACTATAACTTAGTTTCGTAGAATATACTAACTTAAAGACTCCGCCTCACGCTCTCGCGTTATTAACTAAAGTCATACTTCCTAGTCCCAAGATTTTGATCTCGTTCGCCCGGTAACTAAGAAATATATTTTGAAAGCCAATAATATCCTAATCCCATCTAAAATACTCTCGCTGTATTTATATTTATTGCCTAATTTCCACTATCTGGTTTGATCCCCACGCTCTCGCAGTGCCGACTCTAACCTTAATTGATTTCTCACTCTCGTGACAAAATCGTGTTAAATAACTTTTCACTCTCGTGACAAGGTTATTTAAATTAGACTTGGAAATTAAAACCAAAACATAATTCTAATTATAAATTTGCACCTATTATTTTCTACCAAGTCTGTTGGCAACAACGATCCTCATACATCGGACTCAAGACTATTTAGCCAGACATGTTACTAATTAAAAACGCATGAATAATTATAGTTACGATGAAGAACGACATAACAAATAAATTTGACAAACAAAATAGTAATAATAAATAATGCGATAAAAAGGAATAGTAATGATAATAATAATAAAGCAGTAAAATGAAGAACCTGTAAATGCAGAAAATGGAAACAATGAAAACTTGAATTGAAATAGCCGACAAACTTAGATCCGATATATAAATTAAACGGTAGAAATAAATCCTAAAACTAATTTGGCAATAGTCCCCCGGTGTGAAGAACTATTACTTTTACATTATAAGAAAAAGCTATGAACGAAAAATGGTGGAAAAATGGACGGGAGAGAGAGAGAGATATAGAGAGAGCCTATTTATAGCCTTGGAGACGCGCGGGAGTTGAGATATTTTCTCCTCCAGAATTTCCTCCGTATCAACCGCTACGGACTGAAGAAGTCTCAGTGTAACGTTCGTTACACTCCTGAACTTGGGGTAGGGCTTGCGTGGCAGGGTGTAACGGTCGTTACACTCCTGCTTTTGAGGAAAGGCTTGCGTGGCAGGGTGTAACGGTCGTTACACTCTTTTAGGCCAATGTATAACGGTCGTTACACTCCCTTAGGTCAATGAGTAACGGTCGTTACACTCCCTTAGTGGATTGGGCCAGTGCTTATTTTCTTGGGCTTTTTGCTTTTAGTGCACCCTATTCTACCACACACCCCTAAATTGCATAATTGCTCTTGATTAGCTTGACTTTTCTCGACTTTCTTCGCACATGCCTTGCAAACATCAAATTCCTGAAAACATAGAAAATACTAGCATAATACGAATAAAGAGTAATTTAATTAATTAAAATAGATACATAATTTATGTTAATCAAGCCAAATATACTATACATTTTAGTGTTATCAAATACCCCCACACTTAAACCATTGCTTGTCCTCAAGAAATCGACCAACACGTAAAAGAAATGATAAGAGAGCTTTGAAACAAGGGCACAACACGACTCCTAATCATACGTGGATGATAGGCTAATGTTAGTTTGATAGGTATTAAACATTCAATACCAAGGATACTGTAACGATACAATGTTCAAAGACTCCCACTTTATGCAAACCAATTCGAATCATGCCATTATAACTCAACCTATATCCCTCGTTTTTATTTCACTCTATTCATTCAAGCGTAATTACATTAAGCCCGTTATCTGTACACACGCATAGTAGGGGAAATCGGTTAGCGACTATGATCCTTTTCTTTTCTTTAGCACGAGGTTATGGTATTTAAGCGGTGTAACCCATTTTTCCCAACTGCGGTTGCGGGGGATCAGACTGTAGCCCGCCCTACCAAGTCCAGTACCAGTGACCTCTGGACCAACCAACAATGGGTGCTTATTATTAAATTCTTACAGGCTTAACAACCGTTGGGCTAAATGACCGGGTGAGGGTCACCTAACTTAGAAGGTTATTTTTCAATTAAATCATTTATTTATTAAAAACAAGATCATTCACTTATATTCATCGACTCCCTACGTAGTTTGTGTTTAAGATGGTGCTGACTGCTAATATAAACTACTTAAGAGCTACTTTGAAAACTTGAGCCTAAGGTCTTGACATAATGGGTACCCAGATTGATATCACATAATGAGGGGTTTAGGGTGTCATAACGGTATCGATTTTATCGAA